TACCCACACTTTTTTGATTTGGACCTACGTTTCCATACCCAAATTATCTCCTTTCCTCTTGCTCTCCACTTCTGAAGAGATTATCTAAGGACCCATTCTCAAATACTGAGATGCTGCTAGAACCATAAAGATATGGTTACTTAAGAGTTTTCTTCTGGAAAGCAAGACTTTTCATCTCCTGTTTAAAAAGGCACAATTGCCCACAGAACGTTTATTAATAAACTTCTACCAAGTTCGTTAAAAAGAACAGGAAAACATCCAGCCAGAGTGCTTGCACTGACCAAATGTCCAGATCACAGAAYTGCAGCCAGCAATAATGATTCAGCACAGCTCTACTGACTTACCCTGCAATCTGATCAATAGTCTTTAAAACAGATAATGACGGTAAATGCACTGCCTTTTGGAGTTTTTATTTTTTTTCCTATGACCTATTTTTCTCCTGAGATATCAATCCAATACGGCACCTTCTTCCACTTCAAAGATGTAACACGCATTACTTCAGACTGTCAGAAGCAGCTATTTTACAATGTGATCAAACCTGGCTGATTTTGTGTAGCTCTTCAGTAATTATATTAGCAACCATAGGCAGGCATTACACGTACCCAGCGCTGACAGCACATCACACATCACAGTCTCAGTTGACTTAACGAAAACTAATGAACCACAAGGTAGAAAGAAGTAAAGGAGAATTCTGATGTGGCAAGAAATGCCTCTGCTTAGTCAGTGGTGTGTGGAAATGATGTATTTGTGGCTTGCATTGTGATATGACAGTTGCAAACCAAGAAAAATATGCATTTTCTTCTTTTGGATTAGTTATTATTATTTGGCAATCTTTACTTAGGAATCAGCACTCCTCATTTTGCATGAAAAACACAGACACATCAAACAAACAGACAGCAAAAACAAGAACATTACCAGCTGTTTCCTGAATATGAAAAATTCAGTTTAAAAAATAAATTGGACAATGAAATTTAGTAGACGTTTAAGCAAAAGCAGCTTTAATTATGACACATTTTTTTTTTCATGCATATGTAGACACAATACAATAAGCTTTATMATAGTTACAACAGGAGAATAATATGAATAAACCAGCACATTTCAGGAACTCCCAGAAGTTCACTGTAGCAGTATAGAATTTGAACCAATTAACTATTCATCGCAAATGAAATCAACAGAATCAAAGAGCAACCAKTAAGCAATGCCACAGGTTATTCAGTGGAAGCAAAGCTTTCAATGATCTAGAGAAAAAAATGTATTTTGAAATAAGTGATAACATGTTTGGCTTACAAGAAATATTCAAAGTGCAATTTTAATTAGTACTGTAATTTGCTCAAACTTTAATATCATAAGAAAGTTCTCACCATCCTGCCAATCTGCTTTTTGCTTTGTGCATGAAGACAACCTTCATTCTGCAAAATCATTAAAAACCAGAAAAGCTTAACATCCCAGCTGCTAAAAATTCTTCCAGCTTCCAAACTCAACACCATGTGCTCACTTTAGTGAACTCTGAGTCCTTCACCATCACAGCTGCTCTTTGGACTTGCTCATAACTTCTGTTCTCAACTTCAAATCATGAAGCAGAAATCATTTCTGGGAGTSTGGCTTTTCATCATTTTGCTGTAAGAATAAGTTATTCTGCACATACAAAGACTTCACATAGTTTATATTAAAGAGACCAGAGAGCTCTGCTCAGAGATCACAGCAAATGAAGTTTGTTTTTATTCTATGTTTATATGTGCAAAAAAACACACACAACTTGTTCTCATGGCATGTGATGGGAATGTTTGGTAAGAAATAAGCTTTAAACTGTATCTCTGATCATCATCTTATCTATGAATTATGTCCATCTAAATACAGAARATCCATTTTATCATAGTTTAGAAAAATATAAAAAACCCATCTTCACAAGAGATCAAAACTTTGGAAAGTTATGGAAGTCAGAACTTCAAAACCTCTTCAGTTGAAGAAGTAAAAATGACTTGGTGATTGCATACATGTCACATAATGAGATCGGCTGAGGCTGAAGTTGGACGGTACCACTGGTGACCACCCAGTTCAGGTCCCTTGCTCAGAGCAAGGCCAGCCAGATAACAGCAAGTTGCCCACAACRTTGTCACGCTGTAGTGAAGTTAATTAAACCCTCAAATGGTTAACCTGGGCATCACACACTCCTCAGATTTTTATGGCAGCAGACAGGAGGAAAACGGGAACAGATGGGTTATAGGTTGAGAGTAAACAATTCTCATTTGAATAGAAGAGAATCAATCCCAAAAGAATCAAATATTGGGAAACAGTAATGGGCACTACAGTTGGTGGTTTTTTTGATTTTTGGTTTTGTTTTTTAAGTTAAAGACTGCTGCAGCTCAAAAGTCATAAGCCTTATAGATCATCAGGAGCACCTTAAGAAAACATGCTGCAGTAGAACTGTATAGAGGTCATAAAAACAGAGCTTACACAAAGCTTTTGTTTAAAAAAAAAAATCTTTAGAAATAAAAATCAGACATATGCAAGGCAAACAGCCAAAAGCTGATGCCAAGCTAAATTCAGTAACAGAAGTAGCATATTTCTCAGAGACTGGACATATTTCACCACTAACAGATGCCATAAAGAACATAATTAAAGTGATTTTCTAGGCACTGTCTTGGCCAGCTTTACCAGGGTGAAAAGATATCAAGGATTTATCAAGGATTCTAGATGTATCACAGTACTTATTTCTTCCCAAAAGAAACACAAGCAATCTTGAAAAAAAAAMCAAGGAGGTTATAACCAACTGAAGCAATATATCACAGCATACAGCACCACAGTCAAAAGTTTATCATATGACACAAGAAAGTTCCAATTTTTCACCCAAGTYCACTCCACTTCTTACCAGTCTAGACCTAATTTTATAAATCAAAGGAAAATAAAAAGCAGAAGGTTCTGTAAAATCTAATCCATTTGTGGGAAAAGATAGCCTAGATTCATCAGGCCAGAAGCTACTTTTAAAGGCTTCCCTAGTTTAAGAGTAAACAAGAAATGTATTACAGGTTTCAAATACAGGTTTCGTTTGACTGACAAACAAACAAGAAACAGCTGAGATGAATGCCAACAGAAAATCTAATTAGAAGCAGAATCCAGTCTTCTGACAGACTAGCCTATTCAATGAACATTGCTGTTCAGTGTTTTGAAGAGCCACACTGAATGACTTGATTTTCTCTTATCATTGTCAAATTAATGGTGTTATGATGTTAAAAAWTACACAAGGAACATGCTTATCCTATTCCTTAGTGTTAGGACAGAGAGGAGAAAGAGAAGCTCAGGAGAAGAAGTATCTTCTCATACTATAACCTGTTCTAAAAAAAAAGTTCTTTAAGACATCAGCTACAAAGATAGGGATAGGAATCAAAAGCCGACACATTTTTCCCCCTTGGTGGTTTAACTGAGATGATTTCAGAGCACATGTACTATATACAAAGTAAATGGAATCACTCCACAGTAACTTGACAGTTCAAGACTATCAGTTAACTACAAGAATTACTCTCAAACTATGTTATTATTCGAACATTTCTAAATACCATCTATTATTAAATGAAGGCAAAAGAAAATGCTAGAATTTATTATATTTACAATTARCAACTTTATTGTATAAAGCTAGGTATGCATTTTATGTATTCCTATGCAAGTAGCACATGTTTATAAATCTGTAAGTAGAACTGCATTTGTAAGTGAAAGAAAAAAAAAAAGTCAATCAGTGTAATTGTGCTACCCATCCTTCAATAGCAAGTGAAAGTTGCAAAGGATTTTCTCCCCTCTAGATTTCTCTTTCTAGCATTATTGGAAAGCTCGTCGTCTTCTTTAAATGAATTCCTTTTTAATCTCCTCCCTGAACTGCTGGAGAGACACAGGCTCTTAAAAAATTCAGGATATCAGTGTAATTGTAAATTGATCTGTTTCTGTGGCAGAAGGCTGGGGTCTTCCATCCAGGAAAAAGACATCTCGAAGTTGTTTTCCAGACAAATGATTAATTTGTACTTTCTCTTACTACATTATTGTATTAATGGAAGAGCAATTTTTAAGCAAACTCATAGTTTATCAATCTCTTATGTCTGGCAATACACAAGCATAAAAAAAAAAAAAAAGATATTGTAAAGTATTTACTGGCTTGAAATGTTTAAATTTCCTAAAGGAGACTTTTAATCTACATAAATAGGGACTAACTTTATATGACAATGCTAAAATGTACTTATTCATCATTCATAAATTCTGAATTAAGTCAATATATTAATGGATGCATGAAAATTCCCTGCTGATTTTTAATGCTAAGTTAAGTTTGGAAACTATTATGACTATGCAATCTTAAAAACAGACACGTAACTCATTAGTACCAAAGCAGAAGAAATTATCTCTCTAATGTGGTGCTGAATCTGCATAGTCTATTTGCCTTTGGCTCTTTAGTTATGAGATCTGGCATCACTTGGATTATTTCACATAATCCATCATTAGCTTTCACGTGTCCTATATACCAGGCAACAAACCTAAATTTGAAAAGCCCAACTCTCCATCAATTACTACACTTAATATATTACATGTCAGTATAGAGCATAAAGATTAGCTATGCTGAATTACATCTTTCTTTGCAAAACATTAGTATTTTTGAGCAGTGTTAGCACTGCTGACTTACTGAAGCAAATTTTCCTGCCCATTGTGGACAGGCACTAATGCTCTGACCTCTGCTATTCACAGACAGCACAGGGCTATTGAACAAAATGAAAACACAGGAAAAAAAGCAAAGCCAGTAGCAATGCCATGGAGTCACTATTGTTTTTTAATTGCTGTGTTTGCTAGGCTGAGGGAACCTTGCAAGATACCCTAATTTGTTTCCCTAGACCCCCCCCTCAGTTAGGCATTACTGATCTAGGCTTGACCCCCCTGTCCCCACGTGTGCAAAGCCCACAAACAGATTATTACTTGCAACTAAAAATAAACGCCATGCAGCTCAGTAACGCAGCATCCTGACTCACCGGTCTTCCACAGATACACGGAGGAAGTTGCCAGTTCACTTCGCTCGGCAGCGGTGTCCCAGGCACCCAGCAGCAGGGCCAACAGGACGGCCAGGCACCRGCCGGGCAGCGCGGAAGCCCCCGGAGCACGGCCTTGGACAACGCTCCCCGTGCTCGTCCCCATGCCTCCGGCCGGCTGCTCCAGCGCCCGTGCGGTGACGGTCGAACCTCCTCCAGACAATATCGGCCTCTTCAGAATTTCTTCACGGGGAAGAGCAGACAGGAACCCTCTCTCGCACCGTTGTGCATGGCAGTTGAAAAGGGGGAAACCCTGTTTAACACCGGGGAACAATAGAGTCCGTGCTCGCTGTCGCGGCGGCTGCCACAGCTAGTATGGTTGCTGCTCCGCGCTCTTCCATTCAGCCACTAGTAGCAGTTTCCCATCAGCTAAAACAGAGACAGCTGTCCGCAGGGGGCTCCAGCTGACCGAGCAGGTTCTGGGCTCTGCGAGGCAGCAGCAGCAGCATTTACACCAGCTGGAGAGAGTGAGAGACAGAGAAACAGCCATAAGGAGAAACACAAATAAGGCAACGCTGCAACCGTGCTGCGGAGAGCGACGGGGAAAGCCTCCTTGCCAGACAGCCCACCCTGGAACACAGCAAATGAGACACACTCAGAACAGAAGGAATCATTAGTGGTCCTGCTTCAGAAATACAAGTAATACAGCCACAGCACTTCTTCATGTATCCACAGCAATATACTGTAGAAGGCAGAGGATCAGGCTCTGTCAGCAAGATGTCTTAACTGTTTTATAAGCAACAAAATTTAAGTGATAGCACATGCATTAAAGAGAGAGTTTGACTAGCTCACAGAGGGAAATGAAGGAAGAGGAAGAGGAGGGAAAAAAAAAAAAAAAAAAAAAAGATAACTTTTCCTGCATTTTAATCAAATCCTTTTCAGGTTACTGCTGATTACTCACTTTACTACTGGCTACCCTGAGAGTGAATGAGTATACAGATATGTAAAGGGATATGTATATGTGTGTGTGTAGGTTTAAGTACACCACCTCCCAGGTATCTATCCAGGCAGAGATACTATGTATGTAATTATAGGCAACAGAAGCAGCTTTTCCTATCCAGAAAGTATCCACACATATACACATTCATAAATGTCAATCATGTAATTTAAGATAATGTGAAAATCAAGTCATCAATCATTTTTAAAACATACAGTTTTACATATAAAAGTATTCAGGACACATTGAGCTGTCGTGATGATATCAAAACGTGGAGCGAGACAAAGCTTTTTAAATAGGCATTTTTCTCCCACCCACCCGCCTGCCCACCTCCAGGGAACAGATGCAGTAACAAGCCTAAGGATCAGGTTTCAAACCTCTTTCAACTGAGAAGCAAATCAGAAATTATCAAGAACGCTACCATCATATTCAACAAAAGTTTCATTAAAAATGAGAACAGCTACAAAGCACACTGGAGGAACACAGGAAGCAGAGTTTGAAGATGATGGAGGTATTGTTGTTTAAAGAAGAAACCTTCAGTGAACCTCTCTTGGGACTCCTGTCATTTTGCACAACCTTCTCAGACCCAGCCTTTTCACATGCATTAGATTAAAATCAGCTGTGATCAAATAATTCCCAAGTCTTTGCCTGTTTAAATATTCTGACATCAGAGCAAATTAGCAATGTTGAAGGTTGCAAATTCGTCTTTGTTTACTTTCCACTCTGTTACGCCTCTAAGAGGGAATTAAAGGCTCAGGGAGCTCTAGCACTGTGAGGCTGTGATTAAGAGAGATAAGCAAGTGTGGATTACTGTTCCTCAGCTGTTGAAAAACAGGCAACAATCAGGAGATTATAGGTTGATAAGGGATACATAGAAAGTCATGATCTTAACAAATTTATAGCATCCTGATTCAGAAGTTGTAGTCCCAGTTAAAGTATTCCACTTTTGGAAAAACATTTAATTCACCTCTACTTCATTATATTACATTCACTTCATGAAGTAGACAAAGCCACCTAACCTGGGCTCAGTGAACAGAAGACAACTTTAAAACAAAATGCCCTCTAACTTCATAATAAAGAAATATGAGAATACTTAAAATAACAAAAATAACTTAAGCTGCATAATTTATGAAAAATAAAATCAGGAATTTAAGGAGTGTAGAAGAAAACTTTTAAACTCATCAGGAATTCCATAGCAATAGTTTCATTGGCCTGCATGATTGAAATTAAATGCATATGACTTGTGCAGTCCTCGTTAAAAATAACAGTAAAAAATAAGTTAAAAATAAGAGTAAAAGCATTGCAGTAAAAGCACCGCAGCTATACATTGGGAAAAGTCAGCTTTACAGGTTGGCTTGGATAGAAAGTACCCCTTCCAGAGTTGTTAAATACAATAGATTCTACCTGGAATTTTTATGAATCTAGCAAGAAAACCTCGGCAAATACACTGTGCATGACCCTAGGWAACACATCAGCTGTGTAGTTGACACAGTGGATCAAAGGGATTTTAGTAGAAGACCAAAGCACTAGCATGAACAGGACTGTGCACACAGACACAAATATATGAATCTTTAGTTATATTTGCACAACTATACGACCATATACTTTTAAAAGTTCATTTTGCTCCAGAATACTAAAACTCCTATTTATATCTATATAGTAGAATATATTATCAAGTAATTTCACCTTAATTTTATTGGTAAAAGCTATATCAATTTAAATTATTCAGAAATATATCATAAAGATAGAATGGAGGGATAACTGGTAATACAAGTTGTGTAACTATACTTGCTCACCTGGCAAAAATGACAAAGATTCCTGAAAAGCTATCTTGATCTCAAAAGATATCTTTCTCCCATTTAACTCCCAAACTACATCAGTTCTTGAGGCAAGACACTGACTTTTATTTAATCAAGACAGGAAAAGGCCAGTAAAACCACAGGCCAAAAGGCAGGCACATGACAGGAGGCAGAGACACTCACTAACCTATCTGCTGAAGTTGGATTTCAGCCAGGAGAGAGTATATATTATGAGCCCAGCTGTGATGAACTTCTGAGCATACTTATTGCAGAGAGCTGCTGCTACCTTCTTCCACACCACTGTACCCAACATTCTCTTACCCTCTTCCTATCTTACCCTATTCACATCAGTGAATGAGAAACCTCCCCCACCATTTAATGGCATATTCCCAGCCCAAACTGATATTTCTTATTCTAATATATACCTAAGGATCAGGATGTACCCGTTAGTATATTATGGCTTAGATGTTCCAAAATACATGTTTAAATAATTTCAAAAGCTCCAGACAAAGCAGAAGAATAAACTGCAGTCAATATTAACACTCCACATCAAAATACAACTTTGTATTGTGTCTCAGAGCACCAGCGTATGGGTCTCAGTAGACTGATTTTCAGGAACTTTTGTTCATTTGTTGCACAGAGGCTATGTGAACAACTCTCACGAACAACTGAAAAGGTAGCATCTTTTTGTTCTCCAGATTAAAATATGACTAATTTTGAAAGTTTTATGACTAGAGTAACCATAAAAGATAGAAACTCTTTTGTTCGTGCTTCCTAGCACTAAACAGCTAGAGAATCACAAAACAAGCATACAGTGACTGTTATGTAGAGAACAGAGAAATGAGAACACGATACAAATTTCTTAGCCTCTGGGTATGACAAGCTGCCTGCCAAACAGAATCAGACTGCTACTACTAGTGTGTTCCTGTGTTCACATTTGGTCCTCTGCTAACATCTTTTCTAGTTTATGAAGTGCTACAAATAAAAGCTTCAGAATGATCATATCTTCTGAAGATGGCGTATTTCTGTACATAATAAAGTCAGAGTACCCAGAAAGCAGAGCATCCTATACAACACACTAGGTTTTAGAGTCAACAATTCTCAACAAAGAGGTGTACTCAGGATCAATTTTGTCTACATTTGATTTACTAAACTTGAAAACTGGAAAATTTTAGAAAAGCTCCAATCCATTCTTCTGTATCAGCAAATGGCATTTTATGAACCCTACTATTATACCACACTAAACCATTTGTGCTATGCATAAAAATACAATAAAAATTTCCTCAATTAAAAAAAGGGKTTTTTTTTGCATAGGAAATAATTCTTTTTTTGCATCTCCCAAAAGAAGACTTTTTTCCTTCATTATGCTCTTATCTTACTTTGTCTGAAAAAGTTTGTATTCATAATGTTTTGAAACACAGAATGAGAAGTTATTTACAATTTAAGTCTCCGAACTATGAATGTCCTCTGAATTTTCATGAATTCTTCAGGAATTTTACTTGATGTGTATTTGGAGGAAAAGGAGGTAAAAATTCACCATCTCAAAGAAAGACATCCTTCCCCTTCACTCCCTTGACAACTGGCAACAGAGGCAAGCCATAGCATCCTGATCTAGTTCAGTCAGCAAGTTATGGTGCCCTCCCATCCAATGTATGGAATGCAGGARTGTTTCACTCAGTTTTTAAAAGAGGGGAGTATTAGGTGTCAATACGCACCCACATTTGTTTTGCAAGATTCAAGATCATAATGATCCACAGAGCAGCTCAAATTAGTATTGTTCTCCCTATTGAGAGAGTTACCTACCTACCTATCTAGGTAACCTACCTGGGAAGTTAAAAAAAAAAAAAAAAAAAAAAAAAAAAAAAAAAAAGGTATACTCAATACAGGCAAGGCGAACAAAACATAAATATATGCTGCAATATATTTTGTCTCTCAAAACTTAGCAGCTCCTTTTGCAAATCCACGGTTAAATCTATGTTGTGCAACACCTGTACTGAAAAACAAAACCAGTTTACTCTAGATCCTAGACATGTGGCCTCTAGGTGTCACACTTGACCATATAACATGCTATTTAAGGATTTTCTTATTCTCCCACAACAGGTAAGAAAACTTGATTTTTGAGTGACAATTCTCTTTTAAATGTACGTTAAGAAAAAAAAACGTTTTCTTTTTCCTCATAATAACTGCTTTTGAAATAGACTGCTCTATGGTTGTTTTATTTGTATCATCCTTTTGGATCATGGATTTAGAAGTTTAACAAAAGTTTTAAAACTCATTGCATGTAAAAGAAATGTTAGAAATATGTTGTAAAATTATATTTAACCTCCTTGATGTTTCTCTCTGAAATCTTTGCAACCAGTCATTTTTGGAAAATTAATCAAGATTTTATTTGCATGAATGCAAAAGTAGCAGACATCTAGTTCTAGTTGACTTTACAAATATCATGGGTAGTTTGCTTAGCCAATCCCTTACTTTTTTTTCTTGTTTGGTCACAATGCAAAAAAGGCAATCTTTCCCTACCCCACACCCCGTACCATTGGTACTCTCCATTGGTACCGTTGGAGAGCAGCTCTCCCAACTTGGTTTAACTGTACCCTATCTGTCATATTTTTGGCTGCTTCCCTCTATATGTAGCAATTAATACCCCTGGCATTTAAAGCTTATTGACAGAAAATATTCTTTATACAAAGTGTCACCTATACAAAGCCATGTACATATATAG